TATAATATTACGGTTAATCTCACTATTTGTTGGTAAAAGAATAGCCCAAAAGTGGTGGTGACTAGCTGCCTTCCATCTAGTCTTTCACTACTAAATTATGGACGGCTAGCGCAGATAGCCCTCGTGTAGCTTTGTGCGAAATTCAAATCAAACCAAAACAAACAAACTGTTTACAGGCATTTTGAATTATCATGTTTTAAGAAAATAATATTACGCCCTTACCTACACACACCTTTGTTCAAAAGACAAAGTGTGAACAATTTAAATATGATAACTGTATTTCAAAAACAAAAGCCGTAAAACTAAGAACGATAAATGACTGACAATTTACGTTACGAGAATTCCTTGGAAATATTGTATTTGATAATCAACCGTGATGTGATTGTTTAAAAACTGTTTCACAAACTCGGGAATGTAGAGAAATTGTATCGTGAATGTTTTTTACACATTTGTTAAAAAACCTATCTGGGTTTGGTGAATTTATTTGCTGTAGGAGAATCGTTGATGTTAATTTTACTAGGCTAACATCTCTTACACATGGGATTTAGTGCTAATTTAAATCTGGCGGGGAAAATAATAGAAAGTTTGAACATGTAATTTTGAAGATTAAGTTACTCTACTTGTCTTGTAATCTAGGTGTTAGCATGCCCGGACTGTTAATCCGAGGATTCCTGCTGACTACAAAAATTCGCTTCGCCCTTTCAAGTCATGGGTGTGCTAGAAGAGTGACAGTCAAATTCTACTACAGTATTTGATCAGACAAGAGTAGCCCCATAGTTGTTAGTGGGTGCTGTTGACCATCTGTTGTCCATATAATAATTCACTTTAAAACTGGGGGCAGTTAGTGGAGATAGCCCTCGAGTAGCAGTGCGCGAAATTCAACAAACAAAAACAAAATATGGAATTCTCTCAAACGCATCAAGTACGTCAGCCATTTTGCTGAAAAAGTTTTAAACCCATATACACTGTTGCCAGTTATTTTTAACAGTTTGTCATGAGACTTCAATTTATCTTAATGTTCGCTAGATTTCTCTTATATTTATATAACAGTCAGTAGAAAAATAGCTAAATCTATTTAATGTTATCATACTGCTATGTAAGGAACAAATGACTAAATTTAATTACAATTAAAAGAAAGAATTTTAGGCCTTACACATGCTCGTCCCACCTCATATCCCCCACTCCACCACCCATGTTGCTCACCACACGTCACTGGCTACCATCAAATTCAGTTTTATATTGAGACTCACCATTTTTCCGAAAATGAATGAAATGTGGATATGACCTAGAAATGTCAACAGTTTAATCGAAACTCAAGGTCATCAGTCAGACCTTGCAAATGGAGTTTTGTATGTTTGTAGCAATCATTCCTCACAATAGTATATTATTATTATTATAGGCAATGTTTGAATACGTAACACAAATCTATGCTGCGAATGAAGTAGCAGAAGTCCTTACAATATACCAAAATAGTACGGATATACCCTTCTGTGGCAACACTGACTAAATTTTTGTTATGAAACACGACAGTCACGACTTCATAAAGTTCATTACGGCAGAACGTGAATCAAATGTCACGAAATAAATAAGCCTATTTCAAATTTATTCTATATCAAATAATTTAAGTATGCATCTGTCATATATAGATAAACTTTTAATAATACTTTAACCTATACCTAGCATAACAAATTAACTATTATACAGGAATTTGATAAATTTGGGCAAGTCTCATTTTTGTATTGTTTCTTTCACGTTTTAATTTTATCGTTCAAAGGAATTGAAAATAAGACAGCCATAAAAATCCCACATTTGCGAGTATTTTTTTTATGTAAGATGTATGGCAGATATTAGATTTAATTACTCTGCATCAGACACCATTTTTTCAGTCGTAGCTGTAAATCGAAAGAAATTTTTTTATAACAGTAATTAAACTTACAAATTTATTTGTAACAAAAATCATACCAGCCGTTAGAATTAGCTAGATTTATCAATGTATTCGCTAGATTAAAACGTTCGCTACATTTTGCGAAAAGTTCGTTAGGTTGGCAACAGTGCGTATATGTTTAATTCTATGTGATTTTAATGTACCTGTCACTAAATTTCGCGCTTTTTTAAAAGGAAAATAAATCGGAACACTTGAGACGAAATAATATTACCAAAATGAAGGTGCAACACAGGCTTTCTGTAATTGTACATTCCAACAAACTAATTTAATTTAGTTTGTTGTTGTAACGTGTGTTAATGTTAATATTTGGCTCAGTTGACTGTAATTCTTAATTTTTCTTTATTATTATTTTGACTGTCATGTTACACTCCAACAGAAGCTTTGGATGAAAAATTAACCTCTGAAGTATTAAAATATTTAATTTTGCTGTATAATAATAAATAAAAACATTGAAATGACCTTAAATATGCTTTGTTTCGAGCCATCTTCTTGTCAACCTTTTGCGAAATAACTCAAATTAGCCATCTAGTGGAGGAAAAGAAAGTATGGTATTAACATGCACCATTTTAAAAAGTTGCAACAGTGACAACGTCTTGTAAGATTAGCGACATACCTAATTAAAACTAGAAAAATTATCGTCGTATTTCTCGCTACTTGTAGTATTGATAATTCTTAAGAAAAAACTAGAGCAGAAATCGAAAAAAAAAGGTTTATATATTGGCTATTATCCCCCGGTGGGACAGAGGTAAATCTATGGATTTATAACGCTAAAATTCGGGGTTCGATTTCCCGCGGTAGGCGCAGCAGGTAGTCCAATGTGGTTTTCCCCTGAAATAAATAAACAAAAAAAGATTGACTAGTGAGTGTTAGATCCGCAGAGTGAGAACTGTTCAAGTAGTCTGCAGGACGACCGGAACTCGCATTCGGAATGGTCATTGTGCAGCTGGTCCGTGAGATGACCATTTTTGAGCTTAAAAGAGGACCATTATCGTGTGACTGGTGTACGAGATGACAACTGTAGCCGATCCACGGTGTGACCCTATATGGCTGGTTGATAGAATGACCACTGTCTAATTGTGTGTAGGATCATTGCCGTGGGACTGGTGTGGGAGATGTTAACTGGGAATGATTATTGATGAATTTTGATTCATGATATGGTCACTATGTGGCTGAGCTGTAGAATGACCACCATGGAGGTTATCCAAATACGGACTATGTGCTAGTCCGAAGAATGGCCGCAATATCATTATTCACAAAGTGGCATCAGTCTAATTTGCCCAAATCATTAATGATGCATGAGAAGTTAATACCACTGTTTTTTGAAACAGTGACCAGCAGTGGTTTTTAACCCTTGGGTCGCCAAGCCATTTTGAGTGGTCGCCAAGAATCTCCAGTGACTGTCCGAACTTTCCTTTGTAGTCCAACAGTACTTGTGCCAAGGCATGGGTCACCGAGCTACCTCCACGGCCAGAATTTAGATTGCAACCAACAAAGGCTAAGAACTACTGGTGTAGAGGATTGTAACTGTGATCGTCCACAGATGATAAGATCAGGACTAACTTGAAGAACCTCTGCATGATAGTGTTGAAATAAATATATTGCAAATTGCCTATATTATTGGAAGTAATAAAAATATATTCCCTTTTTAAATTGTTATTTTGCTTGTATCCAAAGGAGTCAAGCGTGGACTAGTGGTTAGTATGTGAATTCAATTGTACATGGCTCGTATCCCCTTGCCACAGGTTTTTCGAGGCCGTTGGTACGATAATTGTATCATGAAACAAACACTTCTTTAAACATAATTGTTCGGAACTAATTCAACCGGCGAATGAGTTATTTTATGTTTAACAAAATTTCCTTTGGTTAACAAAAAGAGGGTTTTTTTTTCAGATTCGGACCTTCACACTTCAAACAGTACACTGTTTTTAATGTTAAATTTCGAGATTCCGTTCTCACAGTGAGCAAAGTACAAAGCGTTGGTTTGAGCCTAATAATAAACAAACAGGCACAATGTGGTAATAAAAGGTAGTTCTGTTACTGATTTCACATACTAAACGATTCTTCTCCTATAGACCTAAATAACAATCAGGCGTCTTCTTTCACCGCGCAAATTTCTAACCTGTAGGGAACAATACCTTCCAAAAGAGATATCAAACCCATCAGGGGCGTTCTATTATCACTACTGTATCAAGTATATTAGCTTGGAAAAGAGATATCAAACCCATCAGGAGTGTTCTATTATTACTAACATCAGGTATGTTAACTTGGAAAAGAGATATCAAACCCATCAGGAGTGTTCTATTATTACTAACATCAGGTATTTTAACTTGGAAAATAGATATCAAACCCATCAGGAGCGTTCTATTATCACTATTGTATCAAGTATATTAGCTTGGAAAAGAGATATCAAACTCATCAGGAGCGTTCTATTAGTATTAATCTATTTTTTTTACGGGTTGGGGATTCGAATCCTATTACCAAAATGCGTACCCTTTCAAATAGATTATTTTTATTTTCAGGCAAAGCAAACTGAATAAATAGCATATAAAATAACATAAATATTACAATTCACAATTGATTCTTATGATTCTTAAAAAAAAACAAAAAACTAGAGGTGTTTGTTTATTATCAAAGCAGTAAAACAAAGGCAAATAAATACTACTGGGTTGGTTATACATAATGTCGATTTTTGTGTTATAATTTTACTCCAATTTAGAATTTGTTTTTATATTGCGAATAATACCAATTTGTAGAGAATTAACATGGACAAGATTTTTCTGCATGCTTAGTAGACGCAAAATTATAAGAATTATACATTATAAAAATATTACTAATGTATAGATAGTTTAAAAACAAAAATGAAATATGTTTAAAACACTTCGGAAATTACGGTCATATATGAGCTTCAGAATGTTGTTTTTTATCCCACTTGGCAGAAATAATGTATACTAGCGTGTAATTTTATTTAAAGTTGTTAGTTTTGTAGTTAAAAATATAACTATTTTTAAAAAATTTCCTTACTGTTCATTTACATAAAAATCATAGACACATACAGTGTAATTAAAAATTGTTTTATTGACATTTAAACCTAAACAGGCAAAGAGTCGTCTTTACCACTCAAAACGTTTAACAGTATTACAAATTTTCAATCACGAAAGGAGAGTTTGAATAGTAGTGAGGTCACAATACAAAAATAATTGAACTGAGGGAACACCATCTTGTACCGTTTTCATTCTTTTACAAACATTGTTTATTTATTTATTTTTTGAAAGATCAAAGCCCATCCAAAATTACCCATTTAGCTTTTATAACAATCGTTGTTAACACTATTTTTCATAGTGCACTACGTTATTCTGGAAAGTAAGCGCTAAAGAGGCGAGACAGGGGAGAGTTAGAATTACTGCCTATTGGTGGCGTGCCTGGAGGTGGAAGTGCATCTTTACATACGCTACTATCAGGTTCATAACCGGAACAGACGATGTCTGGAAGACGAGAAACGGCCATTCTTAAGAGTTCCTGTGTAAAATTAACCAAATCTGCTCCACACTTTCTGTTAATCGTTTCTCTAACGCATTCCATGTACCTTTGGTATCCGCTATGGAAAGAAATATAATGTCAACATAACTATTAAAAAAGTTTTAAATAATTTTTATAGTGTACTAAGATATCAAAAGCAATATTTGCAAACATAAACCTGCAAATATTTTGAAGATTAATTTGGAAGCATATGAAACGTTTAAAATGACAGATTTTTTTTTTGTTGTCAAATCCATCAAGAGCGTTCTATTATTACTTTACTAATCCATCAGAAGATTTCTATTGTTACTAACATATCCGGTGCAATGCTTTCCAAATGAGATATGAAACCTATCAAGAACATTCTATTATTACTAAACCATCAGAAGCTTTCTGTTGTTACTAACATATCCGTTGCAATGCTTTCCAAATGAGATATGAAACATATCAAGAACATTCTATTATTACTAATCCATCAGAAGCTTTCTATGTTACTAACATATCCGGTGCAATGCTTTCCAAATGAGATATGAAACCTATCAAGAACATTCTAATATTACTAAACCATCAGAAGCTTTCTATTGTTACTAACATATCCGGTGCAAAGCTTTCCAAATGAGATATGAAACCTATCAAGAACATTCTATTATTACTAATCCATCAGAAGCTTTCTATTGTTACTAACATATCCGGTGCAATGCTTTCCAAATGAGATATGAAACCTATCAAGAACATTCTAATATTACTAAACCATCAGAAGCTTTCTATTGTTACTAACATATCCGGTGCAATGCTTTCCAAAGAAGATAAGAAACCTATCAAGAACATTCTATTATTACTAAACAATCCAGTGCAATACCTTCCAAATGAGATATGAAACCCATCAGAAGCGTGCTATTATTACTAACCTATCACTTCAAAATTAGGGATGACTAGCGCAGATAGCCATCCAATAGCTTTGTGCGAAATTCAACAAACGAACAAATAAACTAATTAACTGTTAAATATGTACCAGTAAAATATTTGAATGCTCAAAGGAATATTTTAAAAATTAGACTCAATTTAATACACCGTTGTATTCGGAACTTTGAAATTTCTCTAAATCTAAAGTCTATTACCATTTAGCATCATAAAACAACTTACCTCTCTCAACATTCCATGATCAACCCTACCCTTTATAGTTTCTCATCAGGTAAGTTGTGATAACTCTGTCTTTCTTTCAAAAAGTCTTTTTTTTTATGTGTTGTTGTTGTAAATATGTCGGTCCAGTGCATTCTGTTTTATGTGTAAGTATTTCCTGTCAGATTTATAACATATTATATCTATATCTAAAGACTTTAACTAACGAAGGTTACCCATACCCTATATTTGTGTGTTTGAGATAAGAATTTAATAGAAAATGCGCATCGCAAGGCTTTTATTTTTTCATTGTTTCAAATTCGCGTCAATAAACAATTGAATGATTCGTCCGTTTTGTTTCAAAAGTAGTCTTTAACAATTTCATTAAGTACATTTACTAAATTTCGAGTAATTGTTTGTTCCATACTTATTGTCCCATTCTTTTACCAATTAGTTACGAATTTTTATTTTAAAAAATTATAGCTTTTCAGTGAGAGAAAACTAAACAAGGCCTAAAGAGCAATAAGAAAATTAGAAATAAATGGTAAAAAAAGAAGCTAAATAGAACTAAGCGACGTAACAATAAGACGAAACTTACCAACAAGCAGTGGTTACACGACTGTTAAACTCAGCATTTCCAATAGCATCTAGTGCTGCTTGCAAGTCTGTTAAACAAGACCTCGCTTCTTTGTTAGCCTCGTTGAGACAGTTAGAATTTTTCAAATAATCTGTGGAGCGAAAAATTATCATTTAATTAAAGGAAGATGTAATATTAGAATTTACTGTATTATTTAGAATATAGAATATTTGTCTCGGCAATCAAAATGAAATGCTAATTTATAATTTTTTGTACATATGTCTTTCGATATCCTAGTTTATTAAAAAAATTTTGTCTAGTTATTTTGTATTCTTATTAGAATGTTTTGATCAGACACTTACTATATTTTCTAAATATTTGTTTGCAACGTTCACTCTCAAAAAGATGCTGGCTTTTTCATTTGTAACCATTTCATATTTTCAGGTGAAATTGACTTCAATGTTTTGATTATAGGTTTTTAATTTGACCACTTTTTTTTTTCAGAAACTTCTTTTGTGACGTCAATAATCAAATAAGTATGGACTACTTACTGTTCCTGATTTCGGAGCCAACGGTACAATAGTCTTTAAGCAAATTCTGAGATCCTTCGCTAGTAAAATCCATCAGCTCCCTCTGAATAGGAGTCATGCAATGATTTGTATAATTCTGGAGACATTGCTGGGCCTCTCGGATGTATCTAAATACAGATGTATATATATATATATATATCAGCTCCGACTTATTATTTCAGCCATCATTTACTACTACTGACATTTAACATGTTAACATTGTAAAGTTTTTCCTATTTTACGTGGTCAGGGCGCTCGTCTCGCAACCTCATGGTCGCGGGTTCGAATCTCCGTCCCACCAAACATGCTCGCCCTTTCAGCCGTGGGGGCATTATAATGTGACGGTCAATCCCACTGTTCGTTGGTAAAAGAGTAGCCCAAGAGTTGGCGGTGATGACTAGCTGCCTTCCCTCTAGTCTTTCACTGCTAAATTAGGGACGGCTAGCGCAGATAGCCCTCGAGTAGCTTTGCGCGAAATTCAAAACAAACCCAACCCTATTTTACTCTTGCATTTTTTTGGAACATCCTAACAGAGTATATATTTTTTTAAATTGAGAACCGTAATTCAAAGATGTCAAACTTGTCACACAACTTTTCGTAGAAACAATAACAGAGATATGGATTATGAGAGCTTTATGTGTGTGAAAATCACTTTGAATAACGTTTTACAAATCTAAAATTAATGTAAGCGTTTGAGAATCGGAAAGTGCGCGGTGTATGTTGAACTCGCTACTTAACCTTAAGAAAAATGTAGTAATATGTTTTTTGATTGAAGATAAGAGTTTTTTAGTTATTCAGTTAATTTGCTTCAGTTATATTTGTGTAAGTCTTAAAATGAGATAGCTTGATTTTCTAAAATCTGTAAAGACGAAAGTTTGATCGCGTTTTAAGTTTTTTAGTAGCAAAATACAAGTGGTATACAAAATATTAGCCCCCCAGTGGCACAGCGGTATGTCTGCAGACTTACAACGCTAGAAATCGGGTTTCGATACCCATGGTGGGCAGAGCACAGATAACCCTTGTGTAGTTTTGTGCATGCTTAAAAATAAACAAACAAACAAAATATTAAAACGTATCTCCATGTTATTAATGAACGATACTACTAAAATGAAATCCCTTGACCCAAGTGGCTTAGTAAAAACAATTATAGAAATTACACTTGTTTTCATACAACAATTATAGAAATTACACTTGTTTTCATACAACAATTATAGAAATTACACTTGTTTTCATACAACAATTATAGAAATTACACTTGTTTTCATACAACAATTATAGAAATTACACTTGTTTTCATACAACAATTATAGAAACTACACTTGTTTTCATACAACAATTATAGCTATAATTGTTGTATGAAAACAAGTGTAATTTCTATAATTGTTGTATGAAAACAAGTGTAATTTCTATAATTGTTGTATGAAAACAAGTGTAATTTCTATAATTGTTGTATGAAAACAAGTGTAGTTTCTATAATTGTTTTATGAAAACAAGTGTAGTTTCTATAATTGTTTTATGAAAACAAGTGTAGTTTCCACTGTAATCATTACTATCCAACACTTGCTGATGTTTACTGTTATCATTACTATCCAATACTTGTTGATGTCCACTGTTATCATTATTATCCAACACTTGTTGATGTTCACTGTTATCATTATCATTCAACACTTGTTGATGTTCACAGTTATCATTATCATTCAATACTTGTTGATGTTCACAGTTATCATTATCATTCAATACTTGTTGATGTTCACTGTTATCATTATCATTCAATACTTGTTGATGTTCACTGTTATCATTATCATTCAATACATGTTGATGTCCACTGTTATCATTATTTATTTATTTACATGCATAAGCAACTGGCGGTGCTTTCTACGTTCGTTGGTTCCTATTACAAATTAACCTAATACATATTCATTTTATCTTAATATTGTCTATAAAGATCTGCGTGGATTAAAATGTCGATTTTTTAAGAAGGAAAACAAGTGTAATTTAAACATCAGCAAGTGTTGGATAGTAATGATAACAGTGGACATCAACAAATATTGAATAATAATGATAACAGTGGACATCAACAAGTGTTGGATAGTAATGATAATAGTGGACATCAACAAATATTGAATAATAATAATAATAGTTGACATCAACAAATATTGAATAATAATGATAACAGTGGACATCAACAAGTGTTGGATAATAATGATAATAGTGCATCAACGAGTATTGGATGATAATAATGACAGTGGACATCAGCAGGTATTGGATGATAATGATAACAGTGTATGTCAGCAAATATTGGATGATAATAATAACAGTGGACATCAACACGTGTTGGATAGTAATTCTACTCATGCTAGTAGCGGACATCAACAAGTATTGGATATAAATGCTAGCGGTGATATAAAACAAGAAGTGTTGGATTATAATTGCTTCTGCAATATTTGTTTTAACGTGTGAGTAGGATTCCACTTACGAGCATTGTATGTCTAGTTCGTCCTCAGACTGGGCAACATCATCATCCTGGTTAAACAGAAGCAAAGAAGCAGCACAGATATCTAGCTCTCTCATGTGACATTCCAGGGTGTATACTTCGTAGGTTGCTACGAGACAGAAGTTCGTATTTCACTTTAAAAAAATATTGTACCTTACAAGAAATCGCATCTACACTAATATTCTGTGGCAACATCTGATAACTCAGTAAGTGTTTTGAATTATATTTTAGTGTGAAGAGCCATTTGAGAACATTGTAATGTAAAACCTGATATTAGAAAGAGCTGTGATTTGAAAATAGAAATATTCAATAAATGCAATCAATGTTTATGCTATGTCATTGATGCTAAAACGTTACAGAATATGAACTTTGCAGAACACAATCGAGAACACTATATATATATATATAAACACACACAATATATTTATTTATAAACACACACACACGCACCAATGGGGCTCATTTCAAAGAACAGATTTACCTAACTTAAGTATTTTTTGAAATCAAAACCTTCTCTTCAAGCGTACAGTATTACATAAATAAAAATGTCACCATTAAAAGAAATTTTAAGCAGATCAATAAAACACTTTTTATAAGTTTCTTTTGTTTTTCAACACAAAACCAAACGAGACAATCTCGATAAAAAAAAGCCTTCTTACAGATACTAAATAACAACACTTTTCAAGACTACAAATTTGCAGGTACGATAATAAGGTTGCAGTAGCAACATACCGTTGACAAGGGTAGCTAGAGAATAGTAACATAATGCAACAAGCGATAGTTAAAATTAGTAATATAGTGTATTAAGCAGTAATTAAAAGTAGTAACATGGTGCTAACAAGCAATAGTTAAGAGTAGTAACCTGGTGTTAACAAGTGGAAGTTAAAAGTAGGAACATAGTGCTAACAAGGAGTAGTTAAAAGTAGTAATATAGTGTAACGAGGTAGTTAATAGTAATAAATAGTGCAACAAGCAGTAGTTGATAAGAAAAGTGTATCAGTTGAAAAGTCTATTTGCCGTCTCTGTACGTTAAATGTATTGTCATGGAAATAGTTAACACATGTTGTATGGTAGGTTTGGAAATGGGATCATTACTTAGTCAGGTGTCACGTATTTACGTTTAAAGCAACTGAGCGTCGTGTAACCAAGTCAAATAAATACGGTCTCAGAAATCAGTCATCTCATTAAAATCATATTATGACTGTGTGTAAAGTAACCAAAAAATTAGACGCTTAACGGACTGGTGTTTTGGACATGTACTTTTATTTTAACACGACAATAATTCTGTGTATTGAAGCAGTCAAGTAGGATTAGTTCTGATCCAGCTGAGTCGTGGATAATTTATCCTTACACTAAAGTGACTTGTGTTTTTAAAACGGTGCGTATTTAAAAGTTTGTATAAGATACAATACACTGAAACTAGTAAACTGAAGTATCTTTCAACAAGCCAGGATTGTTCTCTGCCTAATGAACTAAAGGTTCGACCTCCTAACAATTCCAAGAAAGTCGCTTTTAACCACCCAAACTACTACAGTATTTAAGTTATTTTTTGAATCGATATTCTCGCTTAGACTTAAAATGGATAAAATTCGAACTTACCGACAACTAACAAAAGCCCCAGAGTGTACAAAATCTTCATTATTAGAACTCGGGTAAAATTATTCAGTTTCTTCCTATACGTCGTTCTTGATTATCTGGCTTCTCAGACGAGTCTGTGCCTAATATATCTATGTAAACACCCATCGAAAAGATAGATTTTTTTTCTTTGAAGAAGTCATCCAATTGACGGCAAGGAAAAGTTTGATACATTGAAAAAGAAAAGCGGAAATCTGACGAATCAGACATCGCTAAGCCACGTGACTCATTCCTTGCTTTGCGCCATGAGCATGCGTTACAAATATTTGCATTAAAATTAATTTCCGTTTAAAAATATTTCTTCATCTTTTGGTGTGGCAATAGGGAAAATGTCTTTATAATTTATAACACTATAACCATATTCTTAGACAAATTTGTAAACCTTGACATAGCTATCTTGATTTGTCTTAGAGGTTACGAATCTCGTTCACAATGGGCCAAGAGTAGCCGAATGGTTAGCGTGCGTGCTTCAATTGTAAATGTTCATTGTTAGCGCCCGTAATCACAAAAACGCACTCCGTATTTTGAGGTCGTTGGTATGTTTATACAAGTTTGTTGTCCAAAATATCTATACATGTGTCATCCAGGTGTGTTTATATAGGAATGTTGTTTAAGTATATTGTATAAATATGTTTATACAAGTGAGTTGTCCACAATTTTACATAGGTGTGTTGTACAGGTATGTTTATACAGGTGTGTTATACAGATATTTGTATACAAGTGTGTTGTACAGGTATATTTATACAAGTATGTTGTTATGTTTTTTCCAGGTATATTTGTTCGAGTATGTTTTACAGGTAAATTTATACAGAAATGTTTATTTATGTATGTTTATATTGGTTAAGCTCTTTAACGTTTACTATTGACTATCGACGAAAACATCTTTCCAATGATGATAAAGGTTTAAGTGTTTGTAAAGCTGTTTGGATGTTGAAAGAAAATTCACCTTGACATCAAACTGGAAGCTGCTATTGTTGTTTTTCAAGAATACCAACTAGCCTTGAATGTCAAATTTCTCTGATACCTTAGGAACGACGTTAGAAACTATAATAGCTGTTATGTAAGAAGCGTTCTTCCATCATATCATACTTGGCCAATACCATCATTCAATACCGCTCTAGAATACAGAATTTGTAATTAACCTTGCATAATCTGTGCCTGAAGCAAAGTCGGTTTTTTCCGGCTTGCGTGCATATTATGAATGTATAATTGATTTATAGGCGAACTTAATTATGCAGGAGAATCTGGTTTCAGCATGGTTGAATTGCGCATGCTGAGAAAAAGCAGAAACTGAATTAAAGAAATCTGGATGGATTATTTTTGGAGGAAAATTTGCGCAATTGTTTTATCCTTTAAAATGTGATGTCGTTTCGTTAAATAACAACAACGCATGTATGTGGCTTCGTTCAAAAACTATATAGTTGTGTGGCTTCGTTGAATAATAATACATATATGTCGCTTCATTCCACATCATAAAACTTATGCCACTAAATGGGTTAACAATGCACATATGTCGTTTCATTAAATAACAACAACGTATGCATGTGGCTTCGTTCTAAGACTATACGGTTATGTCGCTTCGTTGTATAATAATACACATATTAAATAACAGTTTACATGGAGACGTTATAATGTGACGGTCAATCCCACTATTCGTTGGTAAAAGAGTAGCCCAAGAGTTGGCGGTGGGTGGTGATGTTATATTAATATTAAGAGAAGAAATTGGGGCACAAATATTTGTACACTAATTCTTCTTCCCTCTTTTCAGGGCCATGTCCAAGAAGATTATACTGAAGAAAACCATGATCGATATCATATTGAAACGCCGAAACTTCCCGAGCCCCGAATCTTTTAAGTTCCCAACTACGCCTCTGTTAGGGCACTCGACTCGCAATCTGAGGGTCGCGGGTTCGAATCCCCGTCCCACCAAACATGCTCGCCCTTTCAGCCGCGGGAGTGTTATAGTAGTACGGTTAATCTCATTATTCGTTGGTAAAGGAATAGCCCAAAAATTGGCGGTGGGTGGTGATGACTAGCTGCCTTCCCTCTAGTCTTTCATTGCTAAATTATGGACGGCTAGTGCAGATAGCCCTCGTGTAGCTTTGCGCGAAATTCAAAATAAACTAAACCACTTTAAAATTAGGGACGGTTATGTTAGGTAGCCCTCATGTAACTTAGTGTCAATATCCGAAACACAACAACCGTAACTGTTGATACGTTCATTTATTTAAAGAATTTTTAACTAATAAACAATGGAAAAATTAGTAAAATTGTCCAAATAACCGATATTTAACTCCTGTTAAAAGATATATTTTATTTATTACCAGGATAAAAAAAAGTGTAATACAAACTACCAAACGTTTATTTTGTATCCATAAAATACTCATAATGATTGAACAAGTTTACGTATGTTTATGTTTACGTACTCTCTCTCTCTCTATATATATATATATGTGTGTGTGTGTGTGTACTTAGGGTTGTGTGCCATTGTAAGAGTGACGGTCGAATCTCATTATTCGGTCAGACAATAGTAACTCTAGTCTATCGGAACAAAATTAGGGACGATGATGCAAATTTAACCCTTGTGTTGCTCAGCACGAAAAATAGAAACTATTAAAGATGTCTGTTTTCAGCCATTGTCCTATTCAACCACAATCGAAAAACTGTTTGTAGGGTACAGGCTAAATGATCAATCATTTGCACTTGAGATCGCATGACGGATCCCAATTTACATAAAATTGAAGTGAGGAAATGATAGTCGGATCATAAGCTACATAAGAATGAAGTGAGGAAGTGATAGCCATTATAACACTTGATTTTGTTTTCTTGTGGGTAAAATATAATAAATTCCAATTATTCTTTAATAGGTTTGTGGAGTGTACATACTCGATTTGAATAAACTCGTGAAGATTGTAAGTGTATGGCACTTTTTAGCACCTTTGGTTGATTTGTATCTTAAGTAGCATTTTATTTTAAGTTATCAAGTGTATAACTCAAGCAGAAATGTTAAGTATTGCAGACCTAGAAATAAATTAAAAGCTGAGCAAGTGTTTTCACCCATGTTTCCAATGCGAATTTGATTAATCGTACTATATTACAGAACTGTAACTTAAAGTTTGTTTTAGAACAAAGCCACTCTGGGATATCTGTTGTGTCCACCGCGGAGAATTGAATTCCGGATTTTAGCTTTGTAAGTCCTTAAACTTATCGCAGACCCACCAGAGGACATAACTTAAAGACTAAATGAATGTTTTAATTCGTATTCCTTCCACTAGGGGTTTGGATTTTTAGTATTACAGACCCGATAACTGAAGGAGTAAATGAATTTGTTTTGAGTTACGCTCAGTTCCTTCCGATAAAATGTTGACTTGTCATATTGCGGTCTTATAACACAAATACTAAATTAATTAATTTTGATTCATTTTTCTTCCAGTAGGTGTCGATTTCTGATATTACAGGATTATAACTGGTACAGTAAATAAATTTGTCTTGATTCGTGTTCTATCCAATAGTGTTTGATTTATCACACTTGTAGGTCTGTCCCCGAAATAGTAAATAGATTGTTTTAAACCACGTTCCCTCCGTTATTAAGTAAAGAAAAACGTGTAAATTGTTTATTTTTATGTTATTTTGAAATTCCTTTTTCTTATTATGTTCGTGATATATAACTCCTGCAAACAAAATATTAACAGATTGTTTTAAAATTATATATTACATAAGGTAGTGAATTTGTATTAGTAATATATTTGTCTACACGAAGACCGAGATATTGAACACTGGAGAAAAATATATATAAAGTGACTACCTGCTACGTCTGTTGTACGTGTTAAAATATGTCATCTCAATAGTGTTATAACAGTGTTACACACCAACAGTCTGCTGGCTTAATTACCGTACTTTTTGACATGATAACTGGAAACTGTCAGACGGTGTTCATGGGCTGTTTTGTTTTAGAAATTTTGTCCAAGAAGGGGGATAAAAAAGCCCAGGAAATAGATCACATTTCCACTTTTTTTTATAGACTTTTGGCTTCCATCACCCCGAGTTGGTTGGCACGATTACTGTAATATTTTGTGACGTAAATGTAAACTGTCCGACAGTGTACATGGGCTATTTTGTTTTAGGATTTTTGACTGAAAAGTGGAATAAATACACCCTGAAATAAGGTTTACAATTTTTATATACTTTTGGCTTTGAATTTAAAGACGCAAGTACTTAATCAGTTAAATGAGTCAGTTATAACCTTCCAAAAAGCAGTGTATACAATTAGCATCTAATGAGGTCATTAGGGATTTAATAACAAAAGAAAGTAGGAAGGGGAACATTATATAAAAGTGTCATTTATACAAATTTTGATTCTTTAATGTGTACCCTCGGCTAGTATTTATAAGTATCCATGTATTTATCAATAGATAGGTAGATAGATAAATAAAAATAAAAAATTTAGAAGAGATGAGTAATTTCTGTTTTCTTTCTGAAAAATATTTATGTTCAAAATATACAAATTGTCTTTCAATTACATTCAAGTTTCGTTCAGAGGAAAATGATAGTTAATATTATATGGTAGGTAGCGTTGCGAGCTCCATAGAAGTATACATTAATTAAACAGTAACAAATTACAAAATTAGAAGTAGGTTGTATTTTTATTGGTTCAAGAATGCGTTGCTGAAGTATTTGAGTAATCAGAGATGGAGAATATAAAATTCAAGATTACACATCATGTCATAAAAGCTTCTTTTTTTACTTTTTTGTTATACAAATTCATTCCTAAACCCCTATTGTTATACAAATTCATTCCTAAGCCCCTATTGTTATACAAAATCATTCCTAAGCCCCTATTGTTATACAAATTCATTCCTAAGCCCCTATTCTGAGACAGTTTGTTTCTCGGACCTCTATTTTGAAGTAAATTACCTGGTTGCATTGTATTCGGTGGAGGAAATTAAAGTTGGATGATATGTAAATGGTATTACACATGCTTTAATACGAAATCCTATTGCGGGCTTTCGATTTTTTAAATCCATAGCAGGTTTCTCAACCGTCTACAAACTTACGGACATGAGTTTTTTTATAAAAAGTCCCATTTTAACACTGTTTTTAAACCCGTAAATAGCAA